ACTAGGGCAACCCTGGGGAAGACCAGGACCAATGGATATAAACTTCTGGAAGGCCACTTCAGGCTTAATACCAGGAAAAACTCCTTCACAGTCAGGGTGTCCAGACTGTGAAATAAACTCCCTCCACAGGTGGTGCAGTCACCTACCCTGGAGGTTTTCAAGAGGAGACGGGACAGTCACCTCACTAGGGGTCACCTAACCCCAGCTGTCTTCCTGCCTAGAGAGGGGCGGCTGAACCCAATGATCTGCGAGGTCCCTTCCAGCCCCTAACAATCTATGAATCTATGATCTGTATCTGCCTCTGCACTGTCACTTGTCTCTAGAAAGACTTTTTTGCTACCTCCATATGTGGGCTTGCCTTCCCAACTCCATTAAGTTGCCTGGAGAACCAGTACAGCACACCATAGCTGTCTTACTGTGGCTTCTAGAGGTCAAGGATAGACATGACTTGGCACAACCCATTATTTGCCTGAGCAGCCATAAGCAATAGACTGAGTGAATCCTGCATGGTGCACATGCATTTCCCTTGGGTGCATAAAGCCACCACAGGAGAGAGTGCTTCCTGAGGCATGGGCTATGCCTAACTATCCTCAAGGATTCCTGTAGAACAAGATATTTCTAATCCCTTTTGGTCCTCAAGAAAAAGCGTCCAAATTAGACAATATGCTACATTTATGGACCAACTATAAAGTCCTAGGTTTGGCTCAAAAGTTTGACAAATGTATGCAGAACCAGCACCTTATATAGTACAATCCATGCATTATTTTTTAGTCTGGTTTTGAAGTTACATTGTAAGTGTTTCTAAACTTGTAGGTTATGTTGACGCTCTTTTTTGTAGTTTAAATACACTTCATAGAAGGCTGGGTATATAGGCAACTGTATGCCCCTTATCTCAGCTCAAATTCCCAATTACTGTGGACCAGTAGCACAACTCCTTAGGTGTTTTTTTCGACCATCATCTAATAGAACCTGACAGTTTTTCTACAAATCTCACCACAAAATATTACCCCATGTTGAAGAATTTAAACAGGCATCATATAGAAGCATATGGGAAAAACTTGCCAAGTCATGCATTGAGAGGAAAATAGTGATATTTTTCCTATTATGTATGAATTTAAACTATCTTAGCTCAATGGGATGTTCAGGATATATCTTGAAATTGTGCAAGATATTGTTCTTAATTTAGTTCTGGGTCATTGGACTTAACTACTCTCAGGTTTTCATGCACCTATTTTATCTTGTCATCAGAAAGATTGTCACAGGATTGAAAGATCAAAATTTGTCTTCTAAATATTAGTCTATGTCAACAGTATGGTACTGTAAGGACTTCTTAATACATAATAGTCACTGTTCAAGTTTGAAAATGGGGCCCAAACTGAAACCCTGGATCTGGGCACCTTGGCTTTAGGAAGAGCTCAGATCCGGATCTAAGTGTTGTGATTAAACTTGTATTTCTATAATAGTTTGTATCCTCTTTAAAAGGAAAATTAATTATCAAATTTGAATTTGGATCTGAACACTTTTCATTGGGCCCATTCCCATTCTGATGTCCTTCCTCAGTGTTAGCTAGCTCTACGTGTAGCTGGGGGTGACTTTTTACTTGCCATTCATGCTGATTTTGCCAGAGCCTAAAAACAAATTCTGTCAGGGAAAGCACGTGCAAATGTGGGAAGAATTTAGCCAAAGTTGGTGAAGGCTCTGGAACATGCTCTATAACACCATTTCTCAACCTATGGGTCATGACCCAAAAGTGGGTCACAAGAATGTATGAAAGGGTCATGGACAAACTTTAAAAATGGATTCTCTTTTAAAGGAGAAAAACGCAGAAAACTGTAGCTTTTCCCTTACAGGCTGGCAGAACTCCAGCCTGTGAGGGGTTGTTTGGGGACCTCCATGCCCCACCTACCTCCCCTACCCCACAAATGAGTGGGGTGGGCTGGGGCTTGGGGGTGGGGGGCAGCGGGTTGGGAGTGAGAGGCACTGGATCGGGACTGGCCGCTGATGTTTACAAATGGGCCCTGGTACAAACAAGGTTGAGAACCACTGCTCTATAAAACACTAATTTTTGGTCAAGTTCCAGGCTTGGCCACCAAACTCTTTCACATTTTATTTTTACCTGCCATCTGTCTCCCTGCCACTTTCCCAGT